TTATGTTTACACGTAAGTCCAAAAATCTAACCATATACAACCTTGAAGCAGGACAGTCCCACAATATTCCTTCTCCTGTCTCTTGGCAGAGGCAGTTTCTTGAGGGATATCAACAGTAATGTGTCTTTTACTCTAATATGTTCTTCCAAAAAATTAGGCAAAACATCACATATTTGATCAATCATTATTCACTGAAGGAGAATAAAACAACTAAGGATAACAAAAGGAACAAATAATCAGTAAAATAAAAATGCAAGTCTTTGAAACATGTTATCAGGGGTTTTAGTCACAAAATAACTGTGCTATTTCTTTCTACTTAATTATCTCCTACTCTAATTTATCACTCAATTAGTTGTGAGTGTGGTGGCACATGCCTGTAATCCCAGTACTCCAGAGGTAGAGGCAGGAGGACCAATGCAAGTTTGAGACTAGCCTGGGCTACAAAGTAAGTTCACGGACAGCCTGAACTGCATAGGGAGAGTGAGTCTCAAAAAGACACGCGCACACACACACAAACTTATGAGTTAAATTCATTATAAAATCAAACTGGGTACACTAATTTGACACATAATAACAAATATTAAAATATACTGGGCCTGATTATAGTTTTTGTAAATAATAGTTTAATATACCATATTTTTTTTATTATTATTTTTTTTTATTTATTACATTTATTTATTGTGTGTGTGTGTGGCCAGCTCAGCCCACCAGGGGGCGGGTCTGGCTGGCATGTGGTGCTGGGGATCGAACCGCGGTCCCTGTGCTTTGCCAAGCTTGTTTCAAGTAGGTGCTTTAGACCACTGAGCCATCTCTCCAGCCCTTAATATACCATATTAAGATAAGATTAAAAGGCACTGCTTTAACAGTGGAATCTGGTTTCTACTAAAAAATGCAGGGATGCTTAACTATATCAAGTAAGAGGTAAAATGCTTAGGTTCTTGGAATCATAAAAGAAATTTATTACCTGCTGAACAGCAAGTGTACTGTCCATTTCATCAAATGATTCATCAGGCCAATTATAGAAATCCTATAAAAATAAATACATGGTTAAAGCAGAAAGTTTCAAAGAGAATGCAGTAATATTAATCTCAGGTTTGTTGTTTTTTTTTTTTTTTTTTTGCGGAACCGGGGCTTAAACTCAGGCTCCTGCTCTACAGAGCTATCTCCCCAGCCTTTAACTTCAGTTCTTAATCCCAAGTTCAAACCAGACAGGAAGAATAAAGGCTTTACAATATGATTATCAGTGAAATACATAATTTTAGATGTTTTTAAATGTACATCAAGAGCAGTGTGAAGAAGCAGCGAGGACGACCCCTGGGCTGCCCAAAGCTGCACGCCGCTGCATCTCATGTCTAGCGCCTGTGACCTGCCGCCGTCGCCACCATGCACAAGAGAAAGGCCGAAGGGGATGCTAAAGGTGATAAAGCCAAGGTGAAGGATGAACCACAGAGAAGATCTGCAAGGTTGTCTGCTAAACCAGCTCCTCCAAAGCCAGAGCACAAGCCTAAAAAGGCGCCAGCAAAGAAGGGAGAGAAGGTACCCAAAGGGAAAAAGGGAAAAGCTGATGCCAGCAAGGATGGAAATAACCCTGCAGAAAATGGACATGCCAAAACAGACCAGGCACAAAGAGCTGAAGGTGCTGGAGATGCCAAGTGAAGTGTGTACATTTTTGATAACTGTGTACTTCTGGTGACTGTACAGTTTGAAATACTATTTTTTTTATCAAGTTTTATAAAAATGCAGAATTTTGTTTTACTTATTTTAAGCTATGTTGTTAGCACACAGAACACTTCATTGTTGTTTTGGGGGGAAGGAGCATATGTCAGTAGTACAATGTCTCCAAAGCTGGATTGATGTGGGGAAGGTGCCTTTCCCTGCCGGTTCTGAGAGACTTCCTCTTGGCTCCCAGGAGGAGGGACTCCCTGATGTTACACATGTGGCCACTTTGGCATAAATGCCTTGTGGTACGGGACAGCTCCCAGTTCATTTTATGTCCTCCTTTCCTCTGCCATCAGCATAGGCTTAAGTCCCTTAAGCCCAGAGACCTATTGGGACCCCATTCCCAAAAGTGATGTTACCAGTGTGTCAGGCAATCTGGACTTGCCAGTAATGCTGAGGTGGTGTCCCACAAGAACAATGATTTCTTTTTCTAGATTGTGGATCTTCAGATTGATAATTCTGCCATTTTCATTTCCCGAAAGTCAGGGTCGGCTTGTGAAAAGTTGTTAAACACCACGCTAAATGTGAGATGTCAACCCTCACTCTAAACTTTCCCTACTTCAGAGCCTCAAATGAAGACTTCATTGATTTTATAATGGTTTTCTGATGCTTGGTAGTCCATCCAAGAAGGGAGTTTGAAAGTTGTCGTATACTGTTAAAGATTGTGTGCCCATGTCCTGCCTGAAATACCATGACTGTTTATGAAAAGTATCTTTAATAAAGCTGGGTACAGTTTGGCTTGGAAAAAAATAATAAAAATAAATAAATAAATAAATAAATAAATGTACATCAAGAACATAAAGCAGGCTGGGGAGATGGCTCAGTAGAATAAGTGTTCCCCTGGCAAGCATAAGGGCCTGAGTTCAATCCCTGGTTCCGCCAAAAAAAAAGAGCGTAAAGTACATTATTAGCACTTTTTTCAACCCTCTGTCTCTCAATTAGGACTATTAGCCTGTTATGTGTTACTTAACTAGGGAGCTAAGTCAGATAGGTTTTGGGGGTTCTTTGGTGGAATTGGGGATTGAACTCAGGCCCTTGTCGGAGCGCTTATTCTACTGAGCCATCTCCCCAGCCCCTTTCAGATAGTTTTTTTGTCTATGATGATTAAATATTACTTAAAATGTTACACTGAAAAAAATCTCGACATCAAAAAGCCAAATCAGTTTTTTATCTGAAGAGCTAATATCAATTATCAGTGGTTAATTTATGGCTCCATGAGTATTACTGTAGATATTATAAGTTATTACTCTAATAGTAGAGCTTTAAATTTCTCAACAGAAATCAGACCAAGGGGTGTGGTTCAGTGGTAGCCCAGGAGGTCTGTATGAGGCCCTGGGTCTCTCATGAGCATGGCATCATGTAATCCTGGGGGGAGGGGGAGTTGTCAAACCCAGGCAAGCACTCTGCCCCAGCCACTACAGGGGCAGCCCTAAGGGGCACCTTGCTGTGGCTCTGGATCTTCCACAGATTCTCCTAAGTGATCAAGAGCCTTACTGTAGGGGCCGGGGAGATGGCTCAGTGGAATAAGCACTTCCTGGGCAAGCGCAAGAGCCTGAGTTCAATATCCGGTTCCGCCCAAAAAAAAAAAAAAAAGAGCCTTACTGTATTATTTTCTGCAAAGTTTACCTCTGCATCCTTAACAGGTAGCACAATGCCTGATACACAGTTGGTCCTCAATAAATGCTTCTGGGATAAAACTAAGGAATAAAAAGTAGTGACCCAGTAATCAATATATAAACCTGTCATGATGTGTAAATCTTCAAAAATAAGGAAACGAGCTGGACAGGAGGGTGCACACCTGCAATTCCAGCACTTGGGAAGCTGAGCCTGGAGGATCACTATGAGTTCAAACCCAGCCTGAACTACATAATGAGACCCTGTCTCAAAAAACCAAAAACAAACACTCTTGAGCAAACAAAAGCAAGCTAATGAATGCAAGGCATATTTATGGCTGGAATGGAATGGGAGGGGGGAGCAGAAGACAGAAAACGTGACCCAGGAGGGCTCAACTATCTTGGCAACATCATAGTTATAAGGGTAGTGATGGGGCTGGTGAGATGGCTCAGTGGTCTAAAGCACCTACTGAGAACAAGCTCAGCAAAGCACAGGGACCCAGGTTCAATCCCCCAGCACCACATCCCAGCCAGCCCCGCCCCCTGGTGGGCTGAGCTGGTCACACACACAAATTAAAAAAAAGGGTGGTGATGGGCACACTTTTCACAACTGCCTCAAATGTGTCTCAAACACTTCATACTATCTTTTTTGTTTTCATAGTACCCTATCTAAAAGAATACAGAACTAACTTCCTTCAGGGAAAATATCAAGAAATAAAAGGTTTTTTCAAGTTGTTCCAAAATGCTTTTTCTAGACAGTATCTAACATTAAAAAGACTTTTAAATGTTGTGACTTATGCTAAAACACATTCTATCAAAGTGCTTTGTCCAATCTTTCATTTAAAAAATGAAAGATTGTAGATTGTCTTTAAAATGTTAGCAAGGGGGCCTGCCCCTTAGCTCAGTTCTTTAAGTGGCTGCTTCAACAAAGCAGTCAGGCTCAGGATGCTGTGGTTCGATCC